GTTCGAGCCCCGCGTCGGGCTCTGTGCCGACGGCTCGGAGCCTGGAGCCTGCTTCCAATTCTGTGTGTCCCCCTCTCTCTACCCCTCCCCTGCTCATGCTCTGTCTCTCTCTGTCTCAGAAATAAACAAACATTAAAAAAATATTTTCTTTAAAACAAAGATGGCTCGAGGGGTTTGTTTTTTGCAAACTGCTGATCCCCGCCTGACGAGACCTTCTTTCTCTCCTCTGTGGGGACACGGTCAGCTGTCACCACCTCCAGGGAGCCCCCGAGTCCTGCAGCTAGCTGTGGTCTCTCCTTCCAGGCGGCCCGCTCTGGCGCCCACCGGCTGTGATTCGGGGCAAACGCCTTCACTTCTTTAGGCTCCGGTTCATCGTTTGTAAAACAGGAATAACACAGAACCTCATCAGGGCGAGATGAGGATTTCAAACGAGCAAATGCGTGAAAAGGACTTGGAACGGTGCCTCAGTGAGCGCTTCACAGACCACAGCCACACCGTTACCGCCGCCAGATCTGCCCTCTGGATTGTTCCCTGAGAGGAGGAGCGTGAGGCCCATTTGCAGAGCCCAGGACCCCGACCGACGCCTGGCGCGGAGGCACCACCGGCCGCTGACGCGCCCTCAGTTCAGGACGAGGAGCTGCCAGTGATGCCTCCGCTGCCAGTGACGACAGGGAGAACCCGGGGAGCCACGGGACGGGACGGCCTGGCAGGACGACTGCTCAGGAACAAGAGGGCCCGGGAAACCACGTGAGATACGGAACACGGCAATCACGACAAGAAATCACCTAACTGCCGGCGACAGGCGATGGCACCAGACGCGGGCCTGGGGACGGGGGCGGGGGGCACAGCGGCCCCCTGGAAACACGGGGACACGGCCTACACTGAGGGGCCATCTCAGAAGAGGCAGGGACTTCCACCACGGAGTTCGTGACCGCTCGACCACGGGAGCAGCCGACGTAAACCACTCGCCTCTGCGGTAAGACGCGGAGTGTCCTACAGCCGTCGGTGTGCGCGTGAAAGGACTCGGAAGCCACACAGGCTCCGAGGGGGAGCACAAGCTAAGAGCACACTTGGGGGGTGCGACCTCCCAGTGGCAAAATGCATGGGACGCGGGGACGCGGTCACCACCGCTGCTGTAAACCCGAAAATGACGGAACGCGTGCGCCAGCCGCACTGAAAAACGACCTTGGGGGGCGATCTGGCGGGTGTCTCGCAACCTAGATTCCACCCGGAGGTTCATTCCGTGCATGAAGCACGGATATGTGTCTAGGAAGATGGTCATCGGCACTTGGGCGAGTGTTGCGCGGGGCCTGCTTCCCTACGATGCGGGGCGTACGACGGACGGCCACGAGGTCACCGGAAAGGGCGGTGAGACGCAGGTCCACAGGCACCAAGACACCCAGACACACGGCGTGTGCAAGGACACCCCGTGGGAAAAGTTGCAAAACAAAACTTGTACTCTGTTTCTTTAAAAAAGAAAACCGTGTGTGTGTGCGTACGTGTAGGTGTGCACACACAGTGAGGGAGATAAACACACAATAACATACGTGTGCAGGAAAAGACTGGAAGGATCTACGCCAGACTGCTAACCCTGGTCTGTCTTTGGAAGGGCAGGATGTGGGAGAAGTTGTTTCAGCCCGTCTGTGCCACTGTTTTCTGCGCTGTATCGACTTGTAACAAGCAAGTAATCTGAACAAAGTAACAAAGATATTCCCACCAAAAAAGTAAATCTCAGAATTGAAAAATAATTTTAAAATTTATAAGAGCTGAGAGGTGCCTGGGTGCCTCAGTCTGTTAAGCATCAGACTCTCGGTTTTGGCTCAGGTCACAATCTCGTGGTTTGTGAGTTCGAGCCCTGCATCAGGGTCTGTGCTGACAGCGTGGAGCCTGCTGGACATTCCCTCCCTCCCCGTCTCTCTGCCCCTCCATTCAAAATAAATAAACAGAAAACCAAAACAACAACAACAAAAAACCAAAACAAAAAACAAGGCTGCAGAAAACAGACAGAAATGGTGATAGGTCGAACTGTGGGTAATATTTACTTCCTTCCTTATTTTTACATTTCCCTACGACGAGGCTTTCTCTCGTAACCATTAGCGACGAGCAATTTGAAACTTCCCGCCTGGAAACAAGGGACAGGTTAGAGCCCCAGAGGCGCCAGGAGGAGAGGTACCTTCAGGCAGATGTCCCTCAGCTGTGCTCGGACTTCGCCTGCCAGCATCACGTTCTTGCTGTTGACAAAATTCTCCTTGCACCAATCCTGAACAGGAGAGAGAGAGAGACGTCACAACCCTCACGCTTCTGCCGAGGGAAAAACGCGACAGGACCCGGAGAACAGCTGAATTCAGAGGGAGGACTTCAGTCAGCAAAAAACAGTATAGGAAAACAGGAAAATAACTTTATACCAAAAAGCACGAACCGTAAGGGGAAACAGTAACACCTCAGAGTTAAACTAAAACTCCTCACGTGGGGGCGCCTGGCTGGCTCAGTGGGCGCAGCGTGCGACTCTCCTTCATGGGGTCATGAGCTCGAGCCCCATTTGAGCCCCACGCTGGGTGTGGAGATGATTGACAAAAACGAAACTTAGAAAAAAAGTCTCCTTATGTCAGGTCACCGTAAAAAAGCCAGACTGGGGTGTGCGAATCACTATAGCCAACAAAGGATAAATCACCTCCAGAAAATGACCAAGAACCTGGCACAAAAACGGGCAGAAAAGCCGACACGCAGAAGAGTTAGTTCCAACGTCCAATCATCTTCTGCAAGGACGCCGTCCGCCGAGGAATCGCGGCGAAGTAACGCAGACGCGATCCCGTCTCCACCGACCAAGAGTCAGGACGGCGAAGCGGGGGCTCGTGTCCACGGCCGCGGGCGGATGGCCAGGGAGGACGGGCCGCGGGGAGACGCGGCGCTCACGGTGTGGCACGTGGGGGCTCCGAAGCGAAAGCACACGGTCGCGTGGGACACGGGCCGACGTCAGGACGGCAGTGACAAGACGGAAGGACGGGACAGCGTTTTCTGTCCTTAAACATAAACTGAGGCAACCACAGCAAGACGTCTGCAACTCCTAGACCTGAGAGGGGCCGTTCAGAAGGGACCGCGCCCCGGCACGGACGGAGTCAGGGCGCGCACACGGGCACCACACGGGTCTCTCTGAGGGACGGAAGGACGGACCCGAGCGTCTCTGAAGGCGCGCATCATGCCGCCTCGCTCGTGGACAAGGCTCACGTTAGCGCTCGGGTTCGCTAGCGAGGAAAACACGACAGGATTTCTGCTTTGATGGAAAAGGGCGAAAGGAAACAGCTCCGTGTCTGCTCTGCGGGGGCGCCTAGGAGGCAGCGCACCCGCACCTGCACCCGCACCGCCAAGCTCCCGGCCCTGGATGGAGCTCCGCCAGGGGAGCATCTGCGCTTCACCTGCATCACTCTGAGTATCCGTTAGCAACGTGTGACCTCACGTATCAGGAAAGCCCCAGAGAGGCTATTGTTGGGGTCTGGGAACCCACAAGAAAGTTCCACATAAACTAACGACTGCTTCTTCACTTTACGCCCCTTCGGCTCAGGAAACGTTTCACAGAACGTGCTACTTTCAGATCTTGGAGAAGATCCAGAAGGGCGCTTCCGTCCTGTCGGAGGAACTGAAATAGCCTACGAGCAAAAGCCGCCGTGAGGAAAGTCAGGGGCAGGCGGGGAAGACGCATTTGTGGCTAAGAAGCGCGGTCACCAAACACAGGGAACTTGCCCCCTCAGAGCACCAGTTCAACAGAAGCAGGACGGAGGCCTGGCGACCCCCGTGCGCAGGCGCATCGGCACCCGGCTCCGTCTTCGCGGCTCCGTGGGAGATCCTGCCAGAGAGGAAGGATCTCGTGCTCCGATCTCGAGGCGGGAGGGAGGCGTGTTCGGGGGAGACGCGAGACTGACCTTGTTCCCGCCGGCGCTTCTGAAGGCCCGGTAGACGTTGAGCAAGGTGACGTGGTCGCCCTCGCTGGACACGAACTTCCTGCGGACGGCCTGCACCTCATCCCGCCGGGAGGGAGGGTTGCACAGGACGCTGTCCACGGACAGCAGGGAGACGATGGTCAGCATCTCCTCCGTGCAGTGGAACTTGGGGGACAGGAGGATGGCCTGCACGTCGAAGGCACACACGGTGTGAGGCACGGTCTCCCCGGCATCTGAACACGGTTTTTGCGTGCGTGCATGCACACGCACGCAAGCACACACACACACACACACACACACACACACACACACACACACACGCTCACGCACTTCCCTTCTGAGGCCTCGCGGGGCACATGCTGCCCAAACCAGGCCTACCTATGTTCATGTCACCGCACGTTTTCGTAGAGCCCGTGACTGCCCTCCCGCGGATTCCCACGTTCCTGATGGGGGGGCCCGTGCTTATGTGGGTTTGAATCGCACACAGAACGGGAGTCCGTGTCACGCACGGAGTACGGTGTGCGGATTAAGCCAGGGGCACCGCGGTGAGCCCTCTGCTGTGCGAGGGCCGGCGTGCAGCGTCGCGAAGGGGGACCGAGGCCGGCGGGGGCGACTCACTTTGGCGAACCTGGGCTCTAAAGGGAAAGCTGCCATCTTCCTTCCGAGCGCCGTCAGCGTGAGCTGCTCGTCCTTCCGCTCCAGGGCTCCCAGCAGCTCCAGCTGTGCCACGGCCGCCTGAATGTGGTCTGCAGACGGAGACAGAAGAAGGAGCAACACGTCGCAAAGACGAAGACGCCGCGGCCGCTTCTGAGGGCGCCATGTCAAGCCGCAGCATCGATCACAGCCGCCACCGTCCCCAGGGCTGGGCCGCTAACGACATCGCTGCCTTCTAAAGTAATGGCCTGTATTCGGTTTAAGATGTGTGTCACCTTTAAACCCAGCTACGTCACACGCATGAATCCCGCCCACAGGTACACTCGTATGTGGTACAGGGGCCGGTCTCCCCAGAAGCAGAGACTCCCAGGAGCACCTGAGGGGCTCAGTGGGTTAAGCATCCGCCTTTGGCTCAGGTCATGATCTCGGGGTTTGTGAGTTCGAGCCCCGCGTC